TGACCTCTTGTAAGTTGTAGACACGTTGTAGTGTTGCTAATCTAAAAAGGTATTATAGTTATTGCCTATTAGTTAAATTATTTTTATACATGAATTGATATTCCTCTGTACGCACGATATATTAACCTGGATTGTTAATACTGAATTATTTTTATAACTTTTTTAACAAAATATTTTTATTTACCCAATATCCATATATTTTACCTTCGCCCAACTTTAACCGTTGGGAAGACAATTTTACTAGTTTTTCAGTAAGGTGTTTAAGTTTATTTGTGTTTGGTTTAGTTGTGTTCCGAATATGGTATATTAGTCCCTCAAAAAATGTAATTTATTATGGACACCGGTACATTCGTTAATGTATTTTGTAGCTATACAATGTATCCCGTGAAGAAGTGACCAGCCGGCGTCATAATGTGATACCATTTCATTAATTCTGAAAAAAACCACTTTAAAGGTTGTGTCGCCAAACTTTTATTTTTTTAGTAATGGGCAATTCAAATTTTTTTTAACATAACCGTATCTACCTCACATTTTCTGACGTATTCTTAAATCTTTTCAACTTATTATCGTTATTTATTTTTTATTTTAAAGCTATTTTACCTAGCTATCAACTAACATACTCAATCATACCAGAAATGTACAAATTATTATTATTAAATCAAAAAATAAAAAAGTTGGAAAAAATCAGCATTTTTAAAAGGAAATCGCGTATAACGCCGTACCTATTTTCTACAGTTTTTATTTATTCTACAGAATTATACATTTTTTAATTTAATCAAAATAATTTGTACATTTCTGGTTTGATTGTATATTTTAGTTGATTGTTGATACCACAGTAAAATAGCTTTAAAATAAAAATTAGTAGTTAAACCTTATTTTGATGTTTGTTGATTATTTTATTGGATAAAATACCTACAGTTTTTCTTATTATTAAGAAAATATAAGGTGAATGTTTTAGTTTTGTATGAGCATATTTCTTTATTACTTATTTCTAATATAAAAATCCGGACCTATACTTAAAACGTAGAGTTTTCGCTATTTATATTTGTACTATATTGAAATCTATATTAACTACTGCATTCGTGTGATTTTCCTTTTTTCTCGTGTTTATTTGTTTATTATGATTTATGTTTGTGAACACATTTTAGTATATTTGGACATAAAAACAGTAACATATTAGTACTTAAACAAAATTATTTACAAATTACAACCATTTTTCATACATAATGTGTGTTGTTTTTATTGTATAATATTCTAGTTAATTTTCATGTAATGATTATACATTTGTAAGGCTCCAAAGTGTATATTATATATATTATATCAGCTGTGTACCGAAACCTATAGGTACGTGTTATGTTTTATTATAGCTGTTTGTTTTGATTAACAAAAAATAACTAAATACCTATCTTTAAAATCTATTTGAAGTTCCATATACTTACCTAATTAAAAAAAATATATCGGTTATTTTTAGGTAGGTATTACCTTCAATATTTATTCTGATTTTTGAAAAAAATGATTTATATATAATTTAACGCTGGTTTTTAATCATAAATTCTGTTCTTAATAAGTCAATGCCTCGTATAGTCTTATTAGGTAACTTCAAATTCATATTCACAAGTAAAATATTGCGTTAAAATTGTATCTACATACTTCAATGAGCACGTGCAGACCGAAACAATATATTAGTATCAGTAGATACCTACGACACTGCCTGCAAGTTTTAATAAAATCATTAAGTATAGGTAGGTACCTACTTTTGTGTGAATAAATCTCAGATCTAATTTATTGCAATATGTAGGTGTTGACGTGTTGTGCCTAAACAAGCTCCAATAAAAAAGTGAAGAATAAAAATAATAATTAAGTATAAATTGAATCTAAATGTTTATTGCAATCGAAATTGGAAAGATAATATAAAAGTATGTGTTAAAAACTGTATGCATATTGTAAAAGATTAAGATTGTATTAAAAGGTTGTTGATAATTAACTTTTTGTTGCTATATTATAGTATACTTATTTAATTATTTAAAAAAAGATTTATCTATACGATTCATGTAGTTTGTGATTATACATGAATGATTTTTCTGTGTTAAACTGGAATGCGGATATAATTATTAATGAAAACATATCCTTGATTACGTATTTTTAACTTAATGGACAATAACGACGATTATATAATTAATTAGTTATCACTAACTTCTTAAATTGTATTCTCGATTTTATTGTAAGTACAGTGAAACCTTCCCTAACGGACACTTCCCAATAGCGGATACCTCCCAATAGCGGAAATTTTCTTGGTAACCAACTACATGGGCCCTCTAAATAGTAGACTCCTCCGAATAACGGACAAAATTTCAGTGACCGAGAGTGTCCGGCATAGACCTTAATACCTTATACTACTAATTACTATACAAGAACTGCGTGTATAACGAGCAGCGTAACAACATCTCGCAGTGATGTAGATTGTAGACCATCTATATTATATATTACCCTACCAACATATTGAGTAATAGATTAATCAAAAACCCTCCATGTTGTTACGCTTTCCATGCATGTATTGCTTGTATATTAAATATATTTAGAGGTTTCACTATATTTTAAAACTACGAATACAGATAAATATTCTATAGAATAATGACTCTTGACATGTCTTTGTTAAAAGTTGGTACTTTGATATTTGGTTATGAGTTTGTGACCTATATTTTTGAAATTTACAATAATTTGTTCGTACAAAACATTATTTAATATGGGTATTTTGTTCTATTAGCTTATGCATCATCGACATAAGTATACTTAGATTTTATTTAAAATTAATAATTATAATTTAACTTGTTTTTTAATTATGTATCGAAAATATTATAATTTTATAATATTATGTTTTACACTTTTACCATTATTAGGAATCAGTGAACAGCATAATGCAATTTCTTATAAATATTTATTGATTTTACAGATTATACCTACTACATAAGTCCAATCTTACGAAAGACATTTTTATTTAGACTATTTACTATTAAGATTTAATTTCAATGTTATTGCTAAATTTCTAATGGGAATCGTGAATTATTCAGGAAGATAATTTCAAATTTTTAAATAACTTATTTAATTTTAACCTTCTATAATTAATCTTCTACGTATTAGACATTAGTTTTATTTTGATATTTGTAGACTAAAAAGATAGTGCTTATGTATATAGGTTGTACGACGTACGTGTTATTACTTATAAATTATAATTCTTATTATATACGTTATCGTATATCGACCTGTGGATGAGTAACTCCTATTTTAGTTAGTAACTAAATAAATTAGTTTATACTTTATTTATATGTATATACGGTTACGTTAAATAGAATTTATCGTCTTAGTCAGTTATATTATATTATATTGCAGTGAATGCAAATACGAATAATATATCTATAACCTAATAGTTAACTTTAATTTACCTGTATGAAAAATGTATTTATTTTATGATGAAAATTGAGTATTGTTAAAATTATTTTGATCTTTTTCAATATGTTGCATGTTATCTATAAGCTTAACGTAAATATTATAATACTGCTGAAAATTGCTATGTACCTATTAAAAAAGTACTAAGTCCTATTAAAAGTTAAAAAAAAATAAACAATACATTATAATATAATATTTATACTCCATGTCAATGGTGTTGTGGATGTATAATAAACATACGTACAATAATTAACAGGTTGTATACATCTGTTTTAAATATGTTTTTACAATTGCAATATATTTTAGTAGGTATCTCTTCGACTTACTTTCAACGTAACAACAACCTTCAATATATTCCAATGCGATTCGCATTTTGGAGAGTAGGTAGGTTATATGATTATAGGTCATTATCATTCGACTGTTTTTTTTATTTTAGTTATTGTTTTGAATAGATCATAAAACAACATGTTTACATGGTACATTAATGCATTGTATAGTTGTATAATAATTAATAAATAATAACTAAGAAGTTTGCAATGTGTCACGTGTTATCTAAAGTTGTAACTTGATATTTAATAATATGATTTGATGTGTGGTATAGTATTTTCTCGGTATTTTCCATTAAAACTAATAAGTAGGTACTTGTTGGATATATCTATAACAAGTTGCTCTGTACAATGTACATAGTAGATTCCGAATGAGTTGTCATTGAGTGGGTTGCTGTTACCGTAGTAATGGATGTGTTAAATTTGGATTACCTATATGATATACAATTATAAACCATTGTATCTATACGAAAAACGATTCTGAAAGTAGACTGTCAGCCTATATATTCCTAAGGATATTTGATATTATTACCTTTAGGCTTTATTTTTATTAATATTAGTCATTCATTTTTATATTAGTAGTTCCTCCTACTACCTACTGTAGGTTTAGCTTATTTGCCTTGAACAAATCTAATACCTATATTATATTATAATTATTAACATAATAATATTTTGTTTAATATTAATAAAATATAGGTAGCTGTTTTTAACTTAGATTCGTAGTAAAAATAGTTTGAAATTAGTCTAAATATTTTGAAAATGTCACTGTTTATAGAAAATAACAACAACAGCGAATAGTTTCAAGACCCTTGGTTAATATATATTTTAATTACAATAAAATAAAGGTTGTTATATTTCGTTTAAAATTTAAATATCTGATTTTCTCAAATTTTAAACTTAAAATATGTATAAAAATAATTGTGCATACCTATGTTTTTTCGATTGTTTCTTAACTTATGAGGAACCTTGTATTAAATTCTTAAGTCTTATAAGTTATAGGTTTTACATGTCTCGTAATTTTGTTTTTGTTTTAAGTACCCGATTATTTTAAAAAATGATGATGACCTTATGAAAATAACCTAACCTAACCCCTCTATCACCTAGAACCAATTTTCTACCAGAAATCACCCTCAGTTTTATCATCTTATATCTGTCATCCGTTTAATTGTAAAGTCGGCAACTAATATAAATACCTAGCTAATAGGTTATTACAATGTTTACGTTTTCCAGAAATTCCGAGAGACGAAAAGAAAAATCAAGAGATGCGGCTCGATCTAGACGTAGTAAAGAAACCGAGATATTTACAGATCTCGGATCAGCATTACCTTTACCAGCATCCGTTATTAGTCAGCTAGATAAGGCAACTGTTATGCGATTGACTATTGCATCTTTCAAAATTATGGACGCTTTATCATCAAGTAATTATAATTTAAAATTATATTATGTAATAGTAATAACTAATCATAAGTACCTAAAGGAAAGTTATAATTACAGTGTCGCTAAGATATTTAAATAAAATAGTACAGTAAATTAAAACAATCTTAAACCAATTTTATAAATCCTAGAATAATAGCGGTACCTATATAATTTTTATTCTATACATTTTTTTAGTTTTATCTTAAATACGTAAAGGTTTTAACTGCACACAAACCAAAAAACGCTCATTAAATAGATTCCTACAACTTAAGTATTCTGCCCAAAACTTATATTATAATTTATAATCCGAGTGCAGTATAACCAAAAACCGTTCAACGAGTCACCAATTATTTTGTTTTATTATATTTTAATATCCATATAGAACGTAGGTACTTATCATTTTTATTTAATTCAATATTTTTATCGTAGACTAAAGGTTAAGTACTTTATATTATTACTAAATAATTTATTATGATTTAATGTACTAAAACTTAAAACTATCATAATTTGCATTCATAACCTACAAATTAAACATTTAAAAATCAATATTCCACGTTTGCGAATGTCAAAATAATATGATAACTTGGAATATCTATTTTAAATACCTACCTATTTGAAAAATTAAAATATTAGTTCGAAGTTTAAATTTGAACCTTCTTGATTTTCATTCTTGTATCGAGTAATTCTTAATTTAATAGATAATATAATAGTTGTATAATTGATTTACATATGCGTTTTTACTTTTAATATATTATTATGTATTACCTATTCTTATTCTTAATTTTCTTACTTTTATAATTTATAATTATACAGTTCTTAGGTCCTTCCATATATATATCATATTTATAATATTATTATAGTTGAGTACATTTATTCATAGGTTTATCATGCTTTGTAAATTTGTAATTAATATGTACCTTAATAGTATATAACTATTTAGTATTTGAATAAAATAAAATATAATTAGAATAATTTTGTATACTTTTATTATATTTCTTTAAAATGAAACGCTTTTTTTACTGTATTTTATATTAAATTATTATTGTAACGTGATATTAATATTTAACAACATAAACGTTAGAATGATTTACAGTTATTTCCTTAAAAAAACAACAGTCCAAAAATATGTTTTATTGTGAAATATTTTAACGCATGGGGTCAGAGAGAAATCCAGTTAGCCTTGGGAGGTGAAGTAGACCTAAAATAGGCTTTAGCTGTTCAGTTAAATTATACAATTTTTTTTAAAAATCTATTGTTATAATTTTTGTCATGTATTTATGAAGAAAATATATTTATAAATATATGTATGTAAATATATATATATATATATATTCATTTTATTATGAATTTTTAGCAAATATCGATGTAAAACCCGATGAAAAAGATTGCCCTCTAAATATGAGTGGGATATGCAACAAAGCATTGGATGGCATTGTCTTAATTACTACAGCTGATGGAGATATAATATTCATATCCGAAAATATTTCAAGCTACTTAGGATTGTCACAGGTATCTTCTACTATATTTTAAAACGACGGTGTAAAATTTAATTTTATATGCGTTAACTGGTAATACTCATTCCTTCGTTGACATCATTATGCATATATGCATGTACAATGTTTATTATTTATTTGTATAGTGATTTTATTCTGAGAAAAATATAATTTGTGTTTTAACTACAAATTTACGTCACGTGTTTTTTTTTAGATCGATTTGATCGGACAGTCAATTTATGAGTTTGCCCATCTTTGTGACCAAGCCGAATTGAAAGACATTTTAACCAGCAAAGACATAGGTGAACAAAAGTCGTTTTTTGTTCGAATGAAATGCACTCTGACCAATAAAGGGCGCAATGTAAATTTGAAATCAGCATCATATAAGGCATGTATTTTAATTATAATATTGTTAATAATATGATAACTAGATTTTAAAGGAAAATATAATACGTTGATGCTTATATATTTACCTACAGGATGATCTAATTTTTTTCTGAATTTTTTTTTTTTATTGAATAAAAATGTTATTTACAATCTGTATTTACATGTAGTACAATAAGTAAATGGGATGTAGGTTGATTAGCGGGAGGGGGAAGTCACCCAATGGTGGCACCAGGTGGACCTACACAATGTTATGAAATTAAATGTGCGTTTTTAAACAATACAATAACATTATTATACTACACAGTACCAAGTCTGGCGGTCACCTATTTTACAATCCGTCTTAAGAGAACGTCGCACCCACATGTGTTGTCTCCGTCTTACACACGTACGACATACCAAATTTTCGTTCTCTAGTTTCAATAGGGCGTTGTCAGTTTTGATATTCGAGTGAATTTAACTAATATCAAACTTTTAAGTTACAACATTATCTGTGTTCTCTCGTTGGTTTTTTGGGATATTTTAATTTTTAATCAAGTTTTAAGTTTGTAAAATATGATTATTATATATAATAGGTCAATTCACTCTAATATCAAAACTGACTAGCGAACGAAAATTTAACATGTCTTACGTGTGTAAGACGGAGACCAGTACTTGCGGGTGCGACGTCCTCTTAACATGTTAAAACGTTTCTCGGAAATCTGAAACGCGTGACTGTATAATGTATAATTACTGAGTATAATAAATAGTTAACGGCGGTCGGCGAATGAGTGAATTCAACATAGATCATCCACTTTTATATCTCGACACAACACAATAAATACCTGTTTGTCAAGATAATTTTTCTTGCAAATAATTAATTATTTTAACCGAATTCAATTGATATTCTTAGAATTAAACACAACTTGATTTTAACAACCTATAATTATTTAGTATAAGCATAGGTATTTTGATATGACGTACATGTGAAGTGCTTAACTTTCTTTACTTATTTAAACAAAATCTCGTATACCACAACTGTACAGCATTTTAAGTTTAAAACATTACATAGACCATGTTTTTATCATATTGTGTCTTAAAATAAACTATTTATCGTACATTTTTTATCTTTACAATAAATTACAAGCTGATAATTTACAAGATTGGTGCAATTTAAAACACCTATCTTCAAATATTAACAAATGTAAGTTTATGCGGTATTATTTAATACAAAATCCAATTAAATTTCAATATTATGTATCTGATTCTCAAATAGAACTCGTTTCAGACTATAAAGATCTAGAAATAATTTTTGATACCAAATTAAATTTCACCTTACTCTCAGAAGCTTTTGTACCCAACAAATAAAATTTTATTGATATTTATAGAAAAAAAAACTAAAAAAAATGGAAACTGAAAATGTCCGTAAAGAGCTCAAAATATTTGGAAAATTTTATCATGTATAGAAATTAGAAAATGAAAATATAAGCAACCAGTGAAATTTTCATGTCAATTTTGTGTAAAATCAATTAAGCTTAAAAATTTCAGTTTTTCTTTAATTTTTCTTTTGTTTTTCACAGCTTTTGAAAACTACTGGAAAAATTTTACTTTTGACCCCCCAAAGTACCAACTAGATTCACTTTCCTATCAGAAAAGATACTGTTGAAGAAAATCCAAGCACTTTTAATGTCTTAAAAGGTGATGAAAGACACAAAAAAAAAAAAAAAATATATAAAAATAAAAGAACACATCATTGTGAAGTCAATACATTCATCGTTCCACTCAGAATTTAAAATTCTAAAATATTAATTAAAACTAAATGTTAAAAGTTCAACATGACTTAGAAAGTTAATTTATTGTGTGAATAAATTTTATTTACCTATATTTAAAATCATTGTTCTATAATTTAATACAGATATTAATAGTTTTATTTTGTAAATTATGTTTTACTCGACAGTTTCCTATGTGGCCTCGATTAACTAATTTAATTTAGCAGTATTCTGGAACACTTGTTATATTTTGTACCTATTTATTTTAATGCCTTTATAATATTTTACTACCTACTTGACTTGATGTTATAGTTTAAATTTTGCATTTATTATGATACACATTGAGACATCCACTGCACACTTTGCTGTATGACACTATGTTTGTAAATTTTTTTCAAATAGTATTATTTGTTAAAAAAAAATCAATATATATTTTCTTGAGTTATTTTTCTTATACAATATCTACTGAATAATATAATAAATACATTTACATAAAAACAATTAAAATTAAAACCCTACAAAAAAAAGCAGAGGATTATTCTTAACATTTCAAAAATGTGTGTCATTTCTAAAAACATTCAGAATAAGTACTACCTACACGTTTTGTGATTTTTACGTGCTTAAAGTTATTCAAGCCTAGTTTTTTGATAAAAAGTATCTACGTGATCTATCAAACCAGTTACTATCAAAGTATAGGTACATTTTCAATAACCATATTAATTTATTATATTTAAATTTGGTTACAAGTCAGTTTCAAATTCCTTTCCACATATTATAATATACACACATAGATATTTACAATTTATTAGATTTAAATTTTACCATTATATATTCTGTAGATTTTCAAATACCTAGTTTATTTTTAGAATACCTACAAAAAATGTCCATCTATTATTTGACATATTACATTTGATAACATTTAAGTATTTAATTTACCTAGAAATATATAATCATATAATAATAAATTTTTATACTTTTTAGGTGCTGCATTTTACGGGACATTCAGTTATCAATACGTGTGCCAAAATAAAATCATCGGTTTTATCAGATGGAGAATCTGATTCAGACTATGAATCAGATAAAAAAACAGATTCTGATAGTAAATCTAATAATAGTGATTTAAAATTTGAAAAATCGGCTGATTCTCCATCTCATATATTTGTGTCGATTGCTGAACCAATACCACATCCTGCAAATATTGAGATACCATTGTATAAACAGAGCAAGATTTTTTTCAGCAAGCATTCATTGGATATGAAATATATAATAGCCGATGATGTGTAAGTTAAAAAAATACATTGTTCAAACTATGTAATTAGTGTTTTAAACTGAAGTCATAAAATATGTATTAATTGTTATTATATGATGATGTGTGTTTTTTTTTTATTATTATAAATTTTTTTTTTGTGTCTACACGATAATTTGTCAAAATAATGTTACTATTTTCAACTTCAGTATGATTTTCGTTGGGAAAGTGAATCTAGTTGGTGTATTGGGGCTGTCAAAATTTAAAATTCCTACTAGTTATCAAAAGCGCATGGAAAAACAAAAAAAAAATTAAGGAAAATGGGAATTTTTACATAAAAACGAATTGGTTTATAGTGTAACCCTCAAAAAAATTTACCTTAGGTACTTGAAATGTATACTAAACGTTTATATTATCATTTCTTATAATTGAAAAATTATATCAAAATATTTTAACTTGTTTTGAGCTGTTTACAAACATTTTTAATATTACATTTTTTAGTTTTTTTCCTATAATTGTCAATACAAATTTGGACGAAACTACATATTAAAATCAAGAATAACGGTTTTAGGTGGTAATTATATTGTTGCAATTAAAAATATTATTCGTGGATATATGAAACATATAGTATATTAATATTATATTTTATACACACAATGACATTTTCAAATATAATTTTTTTTTGCAAAAATGAATTTAACCTACTTTTTAGTGGATACCAATACCTAATACTAAAATTAATTACTTTAAACACAATAATATCATAAAATATACCTACTTGGTAAAATTATAGGCTAATAGACCTTCTTCACTCAGAATCGTTTTTCGTATGCAATGATTTTATATCATTGAATTCAAATTTAAAATGATCCATTACAGTGACACACTTTTAACCTGCTGTAAAGCAGAGCAACGTCCACATACCCGCTTTTATTTTTAGGATAGTAAATAATAAGATGGATTATGTTAATATTAAATTTCAGAAATAATAAATGTTATTATTTATTAATCATGTTAAACAAATTTAAATACATTTTTTTTTTTAAATATAATTATAACGCATTCGAACTAAATTTAATAGTTGTATTCTTTTGTATTTGTAAATATATAACAGTTTTTAAAAAACCGGTTTTGTGTGAAATAGTTTTTTTTTAAATTAAAGATTATATATTTTGTTCGTACATGCCAATGAAAGAAAACAATGATTAGGAGGCAATCTAGAATAATTTTACAAAACATAATGTTAATTCTTAAAATAGTTTAAACATTTTATTTTTACTTACTAAAAATACTAATAATTGATATTTACTATTTTTTTTGGATGTTCTAAATTATTAATTACTTTAATTGTCACATTTAAATTAATTGTCTATTATTAAAGTTTAAAGATAATTATTGTAGCAGTCTTAAAATTTAATTTGTTTTAGTTATTGTAATTTTTTCCCAACTAATAAAAAATATTTATAATGAAATTATTACTCTATTACTTTTAGAAGTTATATTATATATTTTTTAAATCCAGGATTTAAATAGATAGTTAAAACATTCTCTAATAATTCCGTTTAGTTAATAAAAATAACAATAATATCTGTATTTTAAAATGATGTATTGAAATATATATATCTTGATCAACAAAATAAACTTTTTAATGCATTTTTTTAAAAAATATACAGTATTTTTAGAATTAACTTTAAAATATCTAATTTATTTATTTAAAATAATGAAGTGTATCTAGTTTGACCATAAGTTTTGATTTTATTATTGCTTTCATTGATATTCATGAATATTATAATTTTTCGTTGAAAACATGCTATTTACATGATGATGATATAATTTTCTATTTTTTTTTATGATAAACTTTATTTGTTATGGTTCAATAATTTACGATTGAAACTTGTGGTGCTTATTAGTCCAACATTTTAATAATTATTTAATATTTTATAAAAATATTAATTTTTGTTTCATTATTTCACAACTTTTAATGTTAATACTCTTAACTCTTAATTTTTTAATTTTAAAAATTACAATTTATGTAGATAAATATATTATTAATTAATATCAACAAAAAATATTAATTCTTAGTATTTTCCATATTTTAATTCAGTTTTTGATAAACATTAAATAAAAAATATTATTATTTTATATGCTATATTATAGAAGATATATTTTTAAATAATTCTGATTAAAAGTGTATAACTAAGAATAATTATAAAAATTATTGTTTTGTATTTTTAGTATAACAAACTATGTGGGTTATGAACCAGATTTATTAGTTGGAAAGTCTGTGTTTGATTATTACCATGCTCAAGATTGTAATTCGGTTGAAAAAAGTTTTAAAATATGTGAGTTTAATGATTTATACATTAGTTATTTATTTAAAGTATTTAATGAATAAAATAATACTTTTTTTTTGCAGTATTCGAAAAAGGACAGGTAGAGACAAACAAGTACCGATTTTTGTCAAAAGGAGGTGGTTATGTTTGGATAATTACACAAGCTACCATATTAAATGATCACAAGGGTCTAAAACCTGAGAGCATTATGTGTATTAATTACGTCATCAGGTAAGATGTCTTATGCTCATATATAATGACGGACTGGCTATGGTCTGCTAGTTAGCTGTATACTTGTATAATATATGTTTTGAGCAAGTATCGTTTAATCAAATAACACAAACACAATAGAAACATTCCACAAAAATGGGTTTTAACATTGAAAGATAACTACTTTCTATTTATACTGATGACTACAAAATTTTTAGTAATATTTAGCAAATACTGAATTATATCTTAAACTTTAAAGTATGTTAAAATATTACGTATGCATCCTATATTATAATTTATAACACAAATTAATACTCAAAAAATAAATATAGTATGTACAAAATCAAATGTTATTATAATAAATAAACAACTAATGCTGAATGTAACATCTATTTTGAAAAGATTTTATTAAAATTTGCATTGATTATAATATTGTAAATGGAAAAATACGTGTCCTGGTAATTTTTAATTTTAAAATTACACTGGTATATATATTTTTTATCTTCTACCTATTTATAAATAATATAAGTAGCTATTTAGATATTTACTATTTTGATATTTTAATAAAAATTTAATAATATTTTTAAATAGAATTTTATAAATTATTTTCTTTATGCATATCGATAATATGTCAAATGCATTCATTATCATTATCATCATTGTTTTTTTGTTTAAACATTTTTATTTTTCTTGATAAGAATAACAAGAGAAAAAAATTTTTAATTATTTCACCAGGAATCTAATGTATTAATTAGTAATGTTATTTAGATGTAATTATGTATTATAAAACCTATTGTGTAGGATGTTGCATTAATAAAACATTAATTTTATTTAATATTAAAAAATATGTTTGAATAACAGTATAACATTGCTCTTGTGGTAAAATACTATCAGTATATACTTATTGTAATATTGTAAGTTCCTTAATTAGTTTCAATAGTAATAATTGAAACAAAAATATATTAAATGTATCATAATTAACTTTATGTTTTTATTAATGATAAGGTTATTTCTTATGTTATCATAAATAATACATATCTAACACATATTTAATCACATTTTATCTCAAGCTACCTATATAAAGCTTAAATATATTATAATATAACATTTTATTATGTAGGTTATAATATTTATACTAAAAATTTTGTTACGATTTCACGGCGCCTGATATAGGCAATTCTAGTGCAACAAAATAAATTGTAAACTATTATATTATTATGAGCGTATTATTTGAGTATTTATAATCTACAACTGCGTACGTCATAAATACATAATAGTATTTGAAGCGTTCATGTAAGGAGTTTATTTTTGTGCTATAAATTAAAATATAATTTAATGAAATGTTGAGAATTTCCTTGCCCTTACCTAACCATACTGCATGCTTGTATATATTATATTATTCATGTGTGTACATTTGCCTAATTAACGACTCGTTTGTCCGAAACTAGCACAACTAAATTGTTTTCATGCAAATTTAAAATACCCATGAGAATAAAATAACATTGACGAAATTTGTCTGGTTCACATTTATAATGTAGGTATAGTTTTATTGATTCACGTTTCTACTAACTTAACTGCTTTAAATTATTTTCCACGGTATTCAGGAAAATGTTTTCTTTTAATCCCATGTACCTACATAATAGATTTTCGAAGTTGTTTGACAGTATTCGTGTATTCTATATTTGAATTATCATTGGCCATCGTTTTTGTATAGTTTTCGACGCATAATTTTGTTAAGACTTCGGCGTGTATCCGATTTCTTTATCGCCTTGCTTTTAAATATTATGCTTACCTACCATCAAGGCTGGGCATTAACGAGTTAAAAATTAAAATTAAGCTAAAACGTTAAGTTAATTTTAATTAAGTTAATTAACTCGTTACTTTTTTTTCAAATTAAACTTATTAACTTAATAAGTTACTTTTTTTAAAGATTAACGTGTTAGCTTCAAGTTAATTTTATTTCAAAAACATCCAAATTAAGTTAATTTTCTTCTGAATAAGGTAATGGTTAATTATTTTAATGTGTTTGTACGTGATGTATCATTTTACATTTCCCCAGTATTTTCTTAGACGTACAGAAAAACTATCTAATCAACCACATTATAGTGTCTGGTATTTCTATTTTTGCAAATTAGCAAATTTTAACTTTACACTAAGTTAAGTTACTTTTTTTTCAAAGTTAACTTTTAACTTAACGAGTTAACGATAAAAATACGAGTAACTTTTAACTTAAACTTAACTTAATTATTTTAAAATAACTTACTTAACGAGTTAAAAAAACATTACTTGCCCAGCCTTGCCTAACCATTAAGTCCATTATGGTTATGTTACCTATTAGTAAAATCCGTTTCATTACTGGATTGTTTTGGATTTATTCACAACATTTCACTAACTTTCAAACTTAACAACTTTAATTCGTCAGCTGAACACTCAAATCAATCGTTTTCAAAAATCAGAAATTTGTGATTTTTTAAGTCTGCCATAATATTATATTTGCAACAACGTTTGCGTCATACAAGTGTCGAATATATAAGAAATATCGGCTTCTATGCTGACCTTGCTTTATAAACGATTGTCACAGACTACACGAACAGACCCAAACACAAAAACTACCCAAATACATTGATTATTTTAATGTGCTCAAACGAGTTCTACTAATCACAAATATCCTACTACACATTCTGCATATTATATTGAAATAAGTTTGCGTTATCGACACCTTTACAGTGTTCTAGTAAACATCTTTACATTTTTTGTCACTTTAAGTAAGGAATTGATGAGCCATGAGGGTTATATAATAACTAATAAGTTACCACAGCTCATCAGTCATCAAATATCGCATGGACACATAATATTATAGTAATATAGTGTCCACCAATACTGATAGATTTAAATCTAAGACTTGTCTTGACTAACTGTGCGTTTGTAGCAATGTTATTTATAGTATATTAAAATTTGATTTTAATTTTTATATACTGTATAATTTATACTAGGTATCTTATGTTATAGCTTCTACTATGTATGCCTAACAAATTGTCTAACAGTCTTATTACACGATTTAATATTTTCAAATACAATTTTCTATTGCTTTCTGTTCTGCTGTAACTTATGCAGTTGTATGGAATTGTCTTTACTTTCTTTTCACATGTGTATTCACAAAAATAATGTGCGTGTAATAAATTAACTTTTCATAAACGTGTACAATTCTTAGAGGCATAATCTTCTTCTTCTTCTATACTATAAGAGTCTGCTGCACAAAATAGTACTGGTTGGACCTCTCTTTCCCACAACAATTTGATTGATAACGTTGTCTCTTTTCAACATAAAGTGCATGTGCACAAATCAGCAGTGCAGCCAACTGTTTTTTTAATTATGTACATTTGATCACTCAAAGGAAGATCGGGCTCCTTGACATCGTTCGAAGGTACATAATATGAGGCGCGTTTCTATGTTGAAGTTTAAAAAAAATAATCTTTTGCACGGGATACGCCGGGTGGGACAGCTAGTATAAGTAATAAACGAGTGTAATGTCGTATTACGTTTTTAATATTATTATAAATAAAAAACGTTGGCCTATTATTTTTGTGTATTTTACAAATATCTTATTCAAAAGAGAAAATATATATAAAGTAGAAATTAATCATTATTATGCAAGAAAAAAATGTTTTACCTGAAAATTTAAAAAACGTGCATTTAAACTAATATTATAATTTTAATGAAATCATCGACCTTATAATGATTGGCCACATACAAATTCCATTGTAATATTTAAATTTGCCACTTTAAGTGTTTGGTAAAATAACTTTCAAATGTTAAAAGAAAACAAATAATGAGATAACTATTTGGATTCAGCAAATACATTTTGGAATTCTCATAACTGTAATTCTTATTATTTCATTGCATAATATTGTATATAGATTATCGATGTATACTCAGAGTGATATTTAACAAATCTTAGGAATATCCCAGTTATCATTTTTAAATATTTTGTTTTTATTGTTTATTCTAACGACTTATTACATATTTTAGCAATATATGGATGAATTTATTATACCTTTATATATTACATAATTTCAAACAAACATTGTATGATTATTTTGATAGATGTTTATTTTATCTTTTATAAGTGATTTAGTTGTACTGAAATGTATTATATATACGTGTGGTTTCTAAAATAATCTGGCATACAATTCAACTCTCATAAGTAAATTATACTGAAGTACATAAGTTAAATTATCTGATATCTATAAACTATAATAATAATAATAATAGGCAAGTTAAAACAAGTTGAGTGGAGTAAATAGATTAAAACAATTAAGTGATAAGTACCATAGTGTAACTAGTAAATACAAATTCTTACTATAAATTATTTTCTCTGAGTATTAAGTGTATTGAACTACGAAAAGTAGTTTTTTATCTTAAGAAATTATTCGCATTCATTTGTTTAATTGTGCGTCTTTATTAGCTGACATTATTATGGTATCATATTTATAATTTATAATAATATATGGTGGTGTATTTAGATATAAATATTAAATGCATATTATAAATTGTAATCACGTATGCTATTGTATAATTTGTATACAATAATTTATAATTAACAAAATACAATCCTTTATAATTTTCCATTTAAAGAATTTTAGGTCTACTCACGCTTTTATTAAATTCGGATATATTTAAATATAACTATATTTATTTGAGCAAACATACAACACATAACGTTATGTAAAGTTTTCTATCAAATACTAAATTGTGTATAGTGCTGCAGTATTGTTTTTAAAACTACCTAGTAAATATTCTTTGGTATTCGTGTTCTTGTGAAATCTATTAGTTTTTTTTTATTTGTGCCATACAGCTGCTATAGGTCTACTACCCTCGATTTATACAATGAATAATGTAAAAAAAGATTCATATTATGATGTTTTATTTAAATTATATTCATTTGATTTATCTGATCTATCACGTTGTTCACATCTTTATAAACTGAAGATTGTAGACAAAATAATGTTGAAATATCATAT